GGGGGGGAGGGAGGGGGGGAATCTTACCAACAAAAGTTTTTATTTCCGAATATTGATTGACGACAACGAAACCTTTAGATTTGGAAAATTTTTAATTCTTGACTGACACTAAAATTCATTTTTAGTCCTTCTCAATGGGAGGATCAGAAGATGGGTGTGCAATCAATATTTTAAAAAAAAATGAACATGGATTCTGGGAGCTCAACGACGACGCTGTTGAAAATATTCTTTTATCTGAGGAAGTTAAAGATGAAAGGGTAAGAACTTGCTAAAAAAACATTTATTTTTTATTACAAATTCTGAGAACAGTATCGCTAATTTAAACTTTTGTTGTTACAGTTGAGCCGTATTCTGTAAATCACAGAACTGTCTTATAAAACAAAAAAGAAAATAACAGTGTGCATTATAACAAAATAACAATTTACGTCTGAAAATTTTTGATTTTATCAGGATTCAAATTTCATGTTTTGCTGTTTCATCGTATACAGAACCCTATACAATCACTTTTTTTTTTTTAAAGACTGCTGAATGAAGACTTTTCAAGCAAGTTGAAATCTTTATTTTTATAAAAATTAAAAACCTTTTAGCAAAAGCATATTTAATCAGAACTTGAATTTTTCAATAATTGACAATATAACTTTGCATCATATGAGTTTCTCAAAGTAGACCTTTTTTTCAGCTTTATAACAGGCTTTTGAGCAGTTAAAATTATAGAAAATTTATAAATTTCTTAAAAAAAATTACATCTAACAAAAATTAACAATTTTTTTGAGGAAATTATTTTTAGAAAAAAATTATTTCTTTAGTTAATATTTTCAACTGAAGGTGGCTGTATTGGGTATTGCTGGCCCTAAATGTACGGGAAAAAGCTATTATTTGGAGATTCTATTGCAATATTTGAAGGCAACCAAGAAAGATCGTCGAAACGACGAATGGTTTCAGCCAACAGATTTCTCATCAAAATTTGGTTACAAAAAAGGTTTTTATAAGTTTTATCGTCTTTTTACTACCAAAAAAGCTCTTACTTACACATTGAAATTTTTTTAAAACTTTTTTATCAGTTTTGTTTGAAAACTTTTTTTTAATCTTTTACTATACAAATTTAAAAATGAAATTTAGAACTAAAAAGAGAGATGTCGGGTATATGGATGTGGTCTAAGCCATTTTTGTTGAAGGACTGGGAGGGTGAAGCAGTCACAGTATTGGTAATGGATACAGAAGGTTTTTTTGACGAGCAATCAAGCAATGCAGACTGTACAATTATTTTTGCTTTGTCAAATTTGCTGTCTTCTGTTCAAGTACGTAGCTTTCGTATAAAACTTTCTTGTTA